TGAACATTTAGTATATAAAATTGTGAGCATTCAATATATAAATTGTGAACATTCAATATATAAAATGTGAATATTCAGTATGTAAATTGTAAACATTCCGTATATAATTCATATAATAAATTATACAAGTTTTTTTTTTTATCAAAAAAAAATTCATATATTTATAATATAAAAATAATATAATAATCACATTATTTAAATTTTATGCAAATGTCTTTTTTAGTCTTTTTACATTTTATCATCTTATCAAAAAATTAATTTTATCAATTACTTTTAAGCATAATCAGTTAATTAACAGGTTTTCAATTTTCAGCTTCTAACTTATACCTTTTTAACTAGGTTTGTCAAACATAGTTTTAGTGTACAATCTGAGTATATGACCACGTCGAGAAACATGAAAAAAAAAAAAAAAAAAAAAAAAAAAAAAAAAAAAAAAAAGTAACTAAACCGGTGAATTTATGTTAAAGATGCAACGACTTTTCTTATAGCATAGGCAATTGAACTTTCCATTTGAACCAGAGAAAAATGTCCTTCGGTTGACTCTTGCGGTCTCGTTTTTCCAGCCTGACTTTTCCGAAGTTTTAGTTGTTTGTTTGCCACTTTTTTCTTTCTTTGCCTTTTTGTTTGATTTGAAAGCTATATTGACTTGTTGACTTCTTGACTAGTTGAGATTCTTGGCTCCGGTTTACCCCTTTTTTTTTTCTTTTTTTTTTTTTTTTTTTTTACCAATAAATCCTTAAGCCTTGAAACTAGGAATCCAAAAAAAAAAAGTTCACGTGAGACCGTCTCACGAATCTTTATTTGTGAGATTAGTCAGGTCGAGTTAAATCAATATGCAAATGTCATACTTATATGTTCAAATGTAATACTAATTAGAAATACAATTTTTATTAATTATAAAGAAAAATATAATACTTTTGAAGAAAAATGTAATACTTTTTAAATCGAAATGTAAAAGTATTACATTTACTCTTATAATCAACAAAAAAATTATTCCTGATTAGTATTACATTTGAACATATAAGTATGACATTTGTGTGTATAAGTATTACATTTTCATTTTGGTTCGACCCGTCTCACGGTGAGACAGTCTCATATAAGTTTTTGCCAAAAAAGAAAATGCAACATAGAATTAATGCGAGTATCTATTGTATGAGACCGTTACACCTAATATGTGTAATATATTTTAGATAAAACATACAAAGTAATATTTTTTTTGATCTCATAAATATGTATTACATTTTAACTAACAAGTATTACACATCACACATGTACTTATACAAGACTTATTAAATGTCTTATGATTAGATACTACAATAGGTTGAGAAAGTATACATGACTAGATACTACATTCTAACAAAGTCAGTAGTACTCAAAACAAAAACAGGGTATTACATAAGAGTGATATTTACCCTTTTGTCTATCTGAGCAGTGGCTGAACTCGGCCAACGCCCAACCATGCACTCGCCCAACCTGGCCGACACCCAACAATTCCCTTCCCGTGCTGCCGCAACCTTTGATCACCATGCTTAGTTGCGCACGTAGCATGCCTGACTCGGTCTTTAGCCTCCATGCTCATCATCCTCCTGTGACTGGACTTGGCCCGACCTATGCCCACATTTCATCTGGGACTGGGCACTGCACTATGCTTACTTCCAGTGGCGCTGTAAATCAAGCACACTTAACCATTGAGTTATTTGACTATCTAGTTGACATATCATACTTAAAACTAATTAGTGATAAGTAGGTAGATATTAACCATTTATCTACATTTCTCCATGATAAGTCATAACACCACATCTTGAATCGAGTAGGGGCTGAACTCGACCAACCCAACCGACGCCCACCATTTAAATTGACATTGGCCTTTGACATGTCTAAGGAAATGCCTAGTTGTAATTCTCGATCTTAGCATTATAAAATTTATTTGTCAATTATCTCATGCTCCACGAGCCATAATTGTAAGTTAAATGTTGTCCACATGGGTAGTTCAGTTGGTCATATGGTGAAGTTTGGGAACAATGACCTGTGATCGAGTATGTCTCATCAGGGACAATGTGGGAGCAACCTTTTAAAGTGATGGGGGCTCTTTGTGCACAGTAAGCAATGATCTAGCTTATGTGTTCAACTGAGTTACCATAATTTACATCCTTTTAATGATTTGTCGAGTCGGAGCGTGGGGACCCTTAAGATTAGAGATTCAATCTTTTGGGAACAACAAAGTTAAATGTTAAAACATGCAATCATTATTATCATGAAGTTATAATTTGTAATCAACTCTGCTCTACTAGTATAATTTTTTTATTTTTTTTTCTATACATTCCATTTTGTAGTTGAACTTTTGTTTGCTAGACATTCATTCACGTTTTACGTGTGACATAAATGAGCACTGATTGTTAGAACAAATCCAACAGGGATTTTTTTTTTTACTGCTTTTTGTATAACAAAAGAAAAAAAGCTCAACATGGAATTCTTAGTTGATGGGAAGATAAATTTTTACAATTTTATTTTTTCTTGTAAAGTTATGGTTTTTGGAAGAAGGAAAAAAGGAAGAAAGGAAGAAAGAAAGAGGACGCGCTCCTGTAGTGCATGCCGTGCCCATTGAGGTGTTTCAAAGTTGTCACTAGCCGGTGGCCACTCTGAATGTTTATCATTTAAATTTAAAAAAAAAAAAAATCAAAATGGCTGTTGCAGACTTGCAAGCAACAACCAACTTTTTTTTTTTTTTTTTTAAAAGTTAATTTTGTTATTAAATTTTTTAAAAGTTATGCAATGTAATTTTTAATGTAATATATAAATTTAATAACATATTGTTAAAAAACATATTATACGAATTAAAACTTTATAATTTTCAATTAAATTAAATTTCAACATGTTCAATTTAAATATAAATAGTAATAATTATAATTTTTAAAATAATAATAAATTAAGAAATAATTATAAAATGGTTTTTATAAATTGGTGGATTCATAACAAATTTAGGAAAAAACTCAAATTGTTAGGAAAAAAGATTGTTATGTTTGAGTAAGATATAGTGAAAGGTGAGGTGTGAATGTTAGGACTCCCAAAAAATCTCAACTCTTAAATTTGTTCTTAGTTTATTAGTATAGTTTAAAGATGAGATTTTAATTTAAAACACACAAAAAACAATCCTAGAAGTTGTAGCATTGGTGGGCTCACAATGCAAATTATGTTGTAGAAACGTGCACATGGTGAACACAGAGGTAAATCCATAATTTATATACTGTAGATTCATAATTTTTTTTTTAAACGTAGATTCATAATTTTGTTTTTCATTTGTTGTTACAGATATTATAAATCTACAGTACATAAATTATGAATCTACAGTACATAAATTATGAATCTACAGTAGGTTTCCGTGTATGGTATGTGTGGATTGTAGCGCAGAACAGGGCTTGACGGGAAAAGTAGTGAAATGGCAAAATAGGATATAAATTATGAATCTACAATATAGATATAGAAATTATGAATCTACAGTATAGATATATAAATTATGAATCTACCGTACCTAAATTATGAATCTACAGTATAAATGTTATGAATCTACATTATAAAAATTATGAATCTACAGCTTAGAAATTATGGATCTATCCCGTTAACAACAAATGAAAAACAAAATTATGAATCTACGTTTTCAAAAAAAAAAATTATGAATCTACAGTATAAAATTTATAAATTTACCACTGTGTCGTTCCCACAACATAACTATTAGGCTCACAATTATATCACTTTCAATTTATTATTATTATTTTTAAATTACCATTATATGTTTGTAAATTCCAATTACAAAAGCACCCTTCTTCGGTTCTTCCACCAAATGGGAAAAAACGTATTAAAAAGGTATAAAATGAAAGGGCATAATTGGAAGGGGTTGGGACTTGGGGAGAGGAATATGCTTGGTCCAACTGGATTCTTCACATCATTGCCGTTTTACAATAAATTATTCCCTTTTACTTTTGCATATTGGAAAGCACCAGGAAACTTCCCTGTGCTAGTTTGAGTAATGTTTTAATTTTAATTGGATCTTGATTTCTAACCAACCACCTTAAAGATTAAGGAAAATGATAGATGACTAGAAAGAGGTGGAGTCTGATTTTCCTAATAGAAATTATAAATTTAATTTTTGTTAAATCTTTTCAGTTGAGTCTGTCACATAAAATCTTCATAATAATATTTATCACTATTTATAGTTTGCAGATTATTATAAAGAGCAAATGTTTTATTCCTATAAAGTTGTTATTATTATTATTATTATTTTTTTTTTAAGAAATCAATCAAAGCAAGACGCCTTATCATAGAATTAAAAATATTGTAAAAAAATGAAAGTTTACTCGTAGATTAAAGAGGCTAATTTGTTTAAATTGATTGAATAGTTAATTTGGTAACTACAATGTTCTAAGTTGACTTCTCATGAGAGTTACCTATTGACTTTCTTGATTTGAGTAGATAAGCTATGAATAATCTAAGGTCACAATATGAATTTCATTCAAAGAATACCTTCGAATAGTAACAGTAAACTTTTTCGTAAATCAAATGTAATTTATTGGCTGCCTTACTCCATAAAAGTCACAATATAATCTCAACCACTTGTAACTTAACACGTGTACATTAAAAAAACTGTTTGGTCACCTTCTACGTGGCGCTCTGTAATTGGAAGAGCATATGTGGACCATCTGTACGGTTCCGAGTTTGATAACGTTAGTGTGAAAGGACAAAATCACCCTTGTTCTACTTTGACGAGAAGGCTAGTCCCTTGAATAGTAATGTAAATTCAATTGTTGCGGACATTTGTTTTTGGAGGTGATTGGTATAGTCATATAGATTTAGAGGAAGTTCTAATTTATTAGGTATTATTATAATTAATTAATATTTAATAATAATTTAATAATTTGCGTAACAATAATGAACAAAAAAGAATAATTTCAATTTTAATTTATTAGGGTAAATTAATAATTAAATAATTAAATGCCGTAAAAGGAAAAGTACGAAGCCGCTTAGGAAGCAATCGCGGAAGCGCAGGGTTCGCTTTCTTATAAGACCAGAGATCTCATCCGTTTTGAGTGTTGTGTCGAGGCGAAAATCGATAACAGTTCACTGCTACATCTCTGCAATCGACTCTTCAGTATTCTGGTAAGATATTGGCCTTGTGAATTTATTATTAACTGTTTGATTATGGATTTTTTGTATGTGGGATCGTGGTTGCGGAAGTTTCTGGACACTTTATTGATAATTATAGATCTTCAATTGGGCGACAGTTTATGTGCTTCTAGAATCGTAGTGATTAGATCTTGATATTATATGCTGAAATTTTGAATTTTCAGGTGATATTGGGGAGATTGCAGGGGATTTTTTGGGGGAGTAGAGTGATTGATGGGAAAAGGAGGGCAGAATTATGGGAGCACTACGGATGCTGGCGGCAGAACGGCGGCCGACCAGGATGTGTTTCCGGCATGGTCGAAGGATGTGAAGGAGTGTCTGGACAAGTTCCAAGTGAGCTTGGAGAAGGGGTTATCTGAGGAGGAAGCTATTAGGAGGAGAGAAATTTATGGCTCGAATGAGTTTGAGAAGCATGAGGGACCGTCGATTTTTAAATTGATTTTGGATCAGTTTAATGATACACTAGTGAGGATTTTGCTTGCTGCTGCTGTGATATCGTTTGTTTTGGCTTGGTATGATGGAGATGAGGGTGGTGAGATGGGGATCACTGCTTTTGTGGAGCCTCTGGTGATATTCTTGATTCTGATTGTTAATGCCGCAGTAGGTGTTTGGCAGGAGAACAATGCAGAGAAAGCTTTGGAAGCTTTGAAGGAGATTCAGTCCGAGCATGCAACTGTGATTCGTGAGGGAACTAAAGTTTCCAGCTTGCCTGCTAAGGATCTTGTTCCAGGGGACATTGTTGAGTTGAAAGTAGGGGATAAAGTGCCGGCTGACATGAGAGTATTGAATTTAATTAGCTCAACTCTCCGTCTTGAGCAGGGGTCCTTGACTGGAGAGAGTGTAGCTGTGAGTAAGAATACTAAGGTTGTACCAGAAGAGGTTGAAATCCAGGGGAAAAAATGCATGGTCTTTGCAGGTACGACTGTAGTCAATGGACACTGCTTCTGCTTGGTTACTCAAACTGGGATGAACACGGAGATAGGAAAGGTGCATTCTCAGATTCATGAGGCATCACAGAGTGAGGAAGATACACCATTAAAGAAAAAGCTTAATGAGTTTGGAGAGGCTTTGACTGCTATTATTGGTGTAATTTGTGCTCTAGTTTGGCTGATTAATGTGAAGTACTTCCTTTCTTGGGAGTTTGTTGATGGATGGCCTAGGAATTTTAAGTTTTCATTTGAGAAGTGCACTTATTACTTTGAAATTGCAGTTGCTTTGGCTGTTGCTGCCATTCCAGAAGGTTTGCCTGCAGTTATTACAACATGCTTGGCACTTGGCACACGTAAGATGGCTGCTAAGAATGCTCTTGTTCGCAAGCTGCCCAGTGTTGAAACTCTTGGTTGTACAACAGTTATTTGCTCAGATAAAACAGGTACATTGACTACCAATAAGATGTCAGTGGCTAAGCTGGTTGCCATGGGTTCCAAGTCAAACATTACGCGGTCATTCGATGTTGAAGGGACAACATATGATCCTTTTGATGGAAAAATACATGATTGGCCATTGGGGCGGATGGATTCTAATCTTCAAATGATTGCAAAGATTGCAGCTATCTGCAATGATGCTAACATTGAAAAATCAGGGGATCATTATGTGACCACTGGAATGCCTACTGAGGCAGCATTAAAGGTAAAATTAACTGGCCATCTTTCTTTTGCATCTGAAAGTATATTAGGTTCCTATGCTCTATCGAGTAATGATTAGAATCTTCATATTGTTGATGCTTTCATTTATGTTCTGGGTTATTTAAATTGAGTTGCATTGTTTTGTCTATTATGGAACTGGTATTTATTTACCACTTGTATGCATGTTGCTCAGATGATCTCTTTTCATTATTTAATTGAAAGATTAGGTCAGATTTTATACCTGTTCAACATGTTGCAAACCCAATTCAGGTGTTTTTTTTTTGAATATTTATGAACAAACAAATAAATAAACACGCATACAAAAATGAAATAAAATGGGAAAATACTGCTACAAGTTGAAGTGCTTCTAATTGTCTGTGCGTGAATATAGGTTTTTTTTAAATTTTTTTTATCAACCCTCTCATTGAAAGTTTATTTCTGTGATATAGGTTCTTGTTGAGAAAATGGGACTTCCTGATGGCCTAGATACTGGTTCTTCCAAAACTTACAGTGATGCACCATGTAAGTTGTTATATGATATCCAAACATTTACTTAATATGTCATTGATGTTCACACACTAACACCAACTTGCTAAATCAAAGGTTGCTCTTCCACATGGAACAAAATTGAACGACGAATTGCTACTCTTGAGTTTGATCATGATAGGAAGTCCATGGGTGTGATTGTAAGCTCCAGCTCCGGACAAAAGTCATTGTTAGTGAAGGTATGCTCTGTTTCCTTAATTCCCTTATTGCAGCTTGCTACCTTACATGAAAAAAGACTAATTTGATTTGTAGCCTTAGTGCACTCTGTGATTCTAATTTCTTATTTTCATTTCCATGTTTTTTTTCTTGACTAATCTATTTGTGCCTCACCTTTGCAGGGTGCAGTTGAAAGTTTGTTAGAAAGGAGTTCCTATGTGCAATTGTTGGATGGTTCAGTTGTAGAACTAGATGGCAATTCAAGACATGCGATATTGCAAAGCCTTAGCGAAATGTCCTCCAAAGCATTGCGTGTTTTAGGTTTTGCATATAAGGTGGACTTACCTGAGTTTGCAACATATAATGGTGATGACGACCACCCAGCACATGAGCTATTGCTTAATCCTGCCAATTACCCTTCAATTGAGAATAAACTCATATTTGTTGGCTTGACTGGTATAAGGGTGAGTTAGCAAACTTTGTTTCTCATATTTGCAATTTTTGTTCAAGAGATTCTGGGTCTAATTTGCAATTTCTACTTCTTTAAAATACTTATAGGATCCTCCTCGGAAAGAGGTGCGTCAAGCTATACAGGATTGCAGAGATGCTGGAATTCGTGTTATAGTTATAACAGGAGATAACAAGAATACAGCTGAAACTATTTGCCGTGAAATTGGTGTCTTTGGATCCCATGAGAACATTACTTCAAGAAGCTTAACCGGAACACAATTTATGGGACTTGCTGACCCGAAATCACATTTAAGACAAAGTGGAGGGCTTCTATTCTCTAGGGCAGAGCCAAGGCATAAACAAGAGATAGTGAGGATTCTCAAAGAAGATGGTGAGGTGGTTGCTATGACTGGGGATGGGGTGAATGATGCACCTGCCCTCAAATTGGCTGATATTGGAATTGCAATGGGAATTACAGGAACTGAGGTAAAAGATAACTGCATTATTTACCGACCCATGATGATTCAAACATCTTTTCTTTATTTACCCTTACTGCCTCAGTGCAAAAATTTATATTAAAAAAAAACTACTCTGGGATAATTTTCTGTATCATTTCCCCCCTAAAAAGTGCATTCTTTGGCAAAGGCAATCCGAGGACTGAAAGTTGCATTCAACCTCCTAAAATGTTGAATGGTATTTGGGGTAACAAACATGCTTCTTGATTAACTTTTGAAGTGAATTGTGATTCTGGATCTCTCAAATGCCCCTCTAAGATCCTCATAATTCTTGTTTTTCTAATGCATGGATTTGTTGCAGTAATTTATCCAAGGCCTATCAAATTAATCATTCCATTCCATTTTTTAAAAAACTTTCTGTGGGTCACTTTTCCAGGTAGCAAAGGAAGCTTCGGACATGGTTCTAGCAGATGATAATTTTAGCACAATTGTTGCTGCTGTTGGGGAAGGCAGGTCAATATACAACAACATGAAGGCATTCATCAGGTTTACTTCTGTCACTTTTGGTTAAGTCTGTCATGTTTTTTGTTTCTCTTTGTTGGGATCTTCAAAGTTTGACTTAGGAAGGTCTTCTTCTAATTGTATAGGTTCATATTTTTGTTACTTTCTCTTTTCCTTCTCATCTTCTGTGAATAGCATGGTTGAAAAAATCGCTAGGCGCTCCTTGGGTGCTTGGGGGACGCCTAGCGCCTAGGGCACCTAAGCGGCGATAATCGGCGCCTAGGCACCCGTGTATATTTTATTTTATTTTTTACTTTTTAAAAATTTGTTTATTTATTTTTTTTAAAATTTTTTTTGAGACTTGATAATTATAAACTATTTAATTCTTTAATAGTTAATACTAAAATATTAAATACTAACCTAAAAAATATCTATAGTTTAAACAATTTAGGGTTATTTTGCTCAAAATGATGTCGCTTGAGTGAAATAACCAATTTAAAAAAGAAGGGAACAATAGCTAATTGGCTGACTAGGCGACCTAGTCAGTGCTTAGGAAGCCTAGGCGGTGTTTTGGCGGCCTAGTCGGCTTCCTAGCTGGTCAGCCACCTAGACCACCGATTATGGTGATACACTAGGGGCATCGATTAATCGGTGTCTAGGCGGGATTTTTGCAACACTGGTGGGTAGTAAGCTCTAATGAAGGTGATTTTGACGAGGTCTTAGAGCATCCCCAACAAGGGCAAGAATTAAGAAAAAAATGGGTATGTGGAGGAGAGAGGAGAGAGAGGGTTGGGTTGGTCCTGCTAATTTGTGGGTTTTGGGGGGTTTTGTCAGTTTTTTTATTTTGTTTTTTATTTTTTCTTTTCTTTTTTCCTTTTTCACTCATTTCTCTTTCCTAATCACACCTCCAATAACTCCCCAAAAACTACACCAAGATCCTCACTATTCAGGATGGCCTTAGCAGCTTTTTAGAATGTATTTACATGCATGTGAATATACCCTTGTGACGTGCAAATGAATCCTGCAACATATAACTAAAGGAAAATTCTTTTGTGCTCCAAATGTCCTTTGTATGTGTGAGATATATAATTATGCTTTGGAAAAGGGCTTTGTTATTTGCCAATTTAATGGAGGCATATTTCAAAATTGGAGTTGAATGCCTCCTGTATTTGGTGGCAGTATTTTATCTAGTAGATGATTTGTAGCACTGCATAGTTTTTCCTTCCTTTATGATTATTGGCACAACAGCAGTCATTCCCTTATTGTTGTAAACAACTTTCTATTCAAAGCTTTTTTCTTCAATAATGCAGGTATATGATTTCCTCAAACATTGGGGAGGTTGCTTCTATATTTCTTACGGCTGCTTTAGGAATTCCCGAGGGTCTGATCCCAGTTCAACTTCTGTGGGTCAACCTGGTCACTGACGGACCCCCGGCAACAGCATTGGGTTTCAATCCACCAGACCAAGATATAATGAAAAAACCACCGAGGAGAAGTGATGACTCACTTATCAATGCTTGGATCTTGTTCCGCTATCTGGTATACAATGTTCATCTGTTTCACTTTTCTCTTTTTTCCCAAGCTGGTTCTTACCGTTCATTATGTAAATGATGGATGCAGGTGATTGGAATGTATGTTGGTGTAGCAACTGTTGGGGTTTTTGTCATCTGGTACACCCATAACTCATTCCTTGGCATCGACCTAAGCGGAGATGGCCACAGCCTGGTCACTTATTCCCAGCTTTCTAACTGGGGTCACTGCAGTTCGTGGAAGAATTTCACAGCATCACCCTTTACAGCAGGATCTCAAGTGATCAGTTTTGATGATAACCCATGCGACTACTTCCAGGCTGGCAAAATCAAAGCCACGACACTATCCTTGTCTGTCTTGGTCGCTATTGAGATGTTTAATTCCCTCAATGCCCTTTCCGAAGACGGAAGCCTCGTGACAATGCCTCCTTGGGTCAATCCATGGCTACTTATAGCAATGTCTGTCTCCTTCGGCTTGCACTTCTTGATACTTTACGTGCCATTCCTGGCTCGAGTATTTGGCATCGTGCCCCTCAGCCTGAACGAGTGGTTGCTGGTATTGGCAGTCGCGTTGCCTGTGATATTGATAGATGAGGTCCTCAAGTTTGTGGGCAGGTGTACAAGTGGAGTACGGAGAAGAGAAAGGGAAACTGGAAAGCACAAGGCAGAGTAAATGGCCTATATATTGGGGAATCAACCTGGAATATGGTGAAAAGCCAAATCATGAGACTACACTTGATTCATTAGAAAAGAAAAACCTCTCAAGGTAGGTTGAATTAGATTTACTGTTGGTCCCTGTCTTTAAAAATCTTTGAACCCCTCCCGTTGAACTAACCAAGGGTTATTTTGGACCAAACAGATTTAATTAGATTCATTAGACGCCTATATTACTCGTGATGATAGGGGTTAGTGAAGGATAATTATTTGTTGCAAGATCATGTGTTAATTATAATGTTGACAAACAGCTTATATCAAATTGGACTTGATTCTGCAAATTGCTGAAGCTTAGTTTAATTACTACTATATGTGATGGTGATGTTTATGACGTTGGCCATGTTTGGTAAAAAATTGGTTTGAACAATTTTGACTTATTTGATCACTATTAATTGTTTGATTTAATTAAAATATCAATATAAATATTTGATTAATTAATTTTTTTAACTCCAAAATTTAAAAATTTAAAAATTATTCCAAACAACTTTTTCAATTAATTTTTAATTTTTTTTTTATATCAAATAGCTACCAGTTAACAATATACCAAATATTTTTTTACAATCAGCTAATATTATCAACTATTTATGCCCTTTAATTAACACAAACAACTAACAATCATTTTCTCAAACAGGACTATATTGATGTGACGTAGAATTGGACATATAACCAAACATGGTTGTTATATTGATGTGACGTAGAATTGGACATATACTCGTGTATTCTAACATAGGCAAATCCTATATGAATTCTCACCTTTTAATCCTAATTTTTATTTTTTTTTTTTATAAATTTTGGATGTAGACACTCTTTTTAGGATTTACATGGATAAAAATATTCTATCTTTGTTTGTCCGTGAATAAAAGTGAGGAATAGAATTTTAGAGTACATATAATAGAACTTTTTAACATATCAATGTCATGTTAGTTGACGTGTTTGATAGTCAAGAAAGTTTGAAATTTAAAAGGTTAATTTTTCAATTAAAGAAAATTTGGTCAATGACAATTACATTCTATGGTATCAAGGAAAGTAAATCACATCTAGAGTTAAATTTATTTAATTATGTATTTATCATTTTTGACGTGTACATATGTACATATACATACATACACAAACAATATGTACATATACATACACACACACACACACACATATATATATATATATATATATATATATATATATATATATATGTTAAATAGCTCATTAAACTTTTACCTTTCAAAAACTCTAGTCCCATAATCAAGAATGAGGGAAAGCTTGGCCATGAGGTCCGTTGTTTAGTTCTGTTCTCTGTATTCTGTAGGCACACAACATACGAAGGAAAATACTACATGTATTTTTATTTTCTATTCTTTTTATTCATTACACATCAAATCTTAGTGTAGACACTTATATAGTAGCCTATTAGTGTTTGTCACATCAAGGAATAAAATTTAGGAAGTATGATTACTTGCATACAAATATCTCACATTATGTTTTTAATTTTAACATCAAGTATTAATATTATGTATTTATTTTTGTGGATCACACATAAAAAAAAAGACAATATAAATATGAACAATCGTTATACCATGGACTTGGATTCACAGTGCACTGTGAACAATCGTTTTAGTGTTTTAGTGTTTTTTTTTTTTGTGTGTTATATTATAAAATTTTATACCGCAGGAGTATGAGTATGAATTCTGTACCTGAAACAAATTAGTAATTGTTTCTTATATTATAAATTTGTGTCTTGTGTTGTGAAATTTTGTGCCTATGAACACAAATTTTGTACCTATATCATATTTGAAAAATAAGCTAAGTAAATATATAACATGTATATATGTCTTGTGTTATGAAACTCAGCACCTTATGTGTGTGAATTCTATACCTCGTCATTTTTATTCCGGGTCTATGTGTACGTACTTTATGTTGTGACTTTGTGTCTTGTGTTATGAAATTCTGTACCCCTAAGAATATGAATGCTATACCTGAAACAAACTTTGTACCTATAACAAATTTGAAAAAAAAAATAAATAATTCGTATATAATATAACATGTGTATGTGTCTTGTGTTATGATCTCCTAATCTGCGGGGCCACGCCCAAAAACTTTTCACCTAAGATCAACTCGCGGTTTTACAATTACAAGACTCAATGAATTACTAACTCTATGAAAACTTATATAATACAGTTTGAACTAATTTTACAAATTAAACAAACTGTAACCAACCTGGATTGACTTCTCCAGATTAGTACACCAATCTTTCCCTATTTTAAAGTTTTCTTGCCGCATCTTCCAAATAATATTTCTATTTCAACACCTTCAAAAATAATATTGATATTTTTTCTAGTTTGAAAACTTTATTTTTCTTCATGACATAGCTCCCTATTTATATCTATTTTGAACCCATGTAATTAGGAATTTCCTTTCCACATTTCACTCCACCATACACATACATTTCATCACTTCCACACATTTAATTTAATGTCATATTTCCATTTCACATTCCTTAAACTTCTCACACCCACACATGCATTAATCCTTTTTCTTCCTTCAACTCCATATTTCATGCACTATAATCTCCACAATTAGGACATTTAGATATGCCAACAAATATATATATATATATATATATATATATATATATATATATATATATATATATATATATATATATATATATATATATATAGGCTTCGGATCCAGTGAGGTCCCCTAGATAGATGAGATCATGAGATCTCATCTTATCCATTAATTAAATTTCAATGGATGGATGAGATTGAAAGTCAAATTCTAATTAAATAAGGCTAGATTTTAACTAGAAGGGTGAAAGAGTAAATATAATATGGTGTTTATTTTTGGTTATAATTAAAATACAATCTTTACCATAATATTAGGGATCATATCAATGGTAAGAATTAATTATATTTTGTGTTGAAAGATTCAAACATATTATCAGCGGTGTAATCTAAAATTACAGAGTTTGAGAATGGTGTCTAAAATCGTGGGTAAGTGCGTCTTTAATTTTAATTTAGGTAAATACTACGTAGGTTTGTGCATTGTTGTGTAACGGCGTGTGCAAATTTGCAGTCGATACGTTTTTTTTAGAGTAGGGTCTATGCATTTATGGTGATTGGCGTGTGTTTTTTTTTTTAATTTTACTTTAGTTCTAAAAAATTTCGTATGTTCTTGTGTGTGCAATTGTGGTCAACGGAGTGTGCAATTTGCTAAACATATGAATCTCCATATGGTAAGGCGTGTGTGCAATTATGTGGTAATTATGCAATTATGCATACAACAATTTATGTTGGGATCTCCATCTTAGCAGTAAATCACTTTGGTAAACATATGAATCTCCATCTTAGCAGTAAATCACTTTGGTAAACATATGAAATGGCATTTGCTAATCATGTTCCTCATATGCCTATGTTGTGATTAGGGTGTGTACATTTATAGTGATTGGCGTGTGTTTTTTTTTTAATTTTATTTTGCTTCTAAAAAATTTCGTAGGTTCCCGTATGTGCAATTGTGGCGAACGTGCAATTTGCTGGCAAGGGAACTCTTTCTCATGTTTTTTTTTTTATTTTTTATTTTTTTTATTTTTTTTATGGTGGTGTGTAGTTTTGGGGAAAGGCGTTTGTAAATTGTTTATAATGGTACTTTATAACATGTAAGCCAGGGTTTTTTTTTTTTTTTTTCAAGTGGGTTGTTCATTTTTTTGATTGGCTTGTGTTTTTTTATTTTTCTCAATGGAACATTGTAACATATCGGGTGGCAAGAATATAAAATGATGGTGTAAGCATGTATGGAAAAAGTTGGGCTTTTGCATTACATTGTACAGTCAATTTTAAATAGTAAACAAAAGGAACAAATATTACATTTACTATAAAAAATTTTGAGTTTACATTTACGTAAATTGGCGTGGGTGTGTGCGTTTGTGTTACATGGCGTGTGCATATTCCAGTGTGTGCACAGTATCTGTTTTTTATTATTACTTTACTTTTGATTGCACAACAATGCACACGTCACCCAGTATTTTGCACACACCATCAAACACCAATGCACACAACACCATAGGTAATTTCTTAGGCAATAAAAAAAATCTGCATAAAAGTAACGCATTGGCCAAATGTTGTTACATTCTTTATTAAGAAAACAAAAAACTCGTCAACATAACAAATTTAAAAAAAAAAACATTATGCAAATTAAAGTCTATGATCTACTGATGCACAAACTCGCCAGCATAACGCACCCGCTACCGTCTGAGGTCCTCACGCTATCTGCACTTGTGAAATTTGAACGAGTCGAATTTTTATCACAACAAACTGGAATTTTTGTTTACACTTAAAATAAAAGAAACACAAAAGTCACAACAATCATCCATTAATGACCAACAAAATATTTACATCACATTCATAATAAAAACAAGAAAAACAAAACAAACAAACAAAATTTCTGGAATATTTCCAGTAAAATAAAAAAATAAAAAATAAACAGCAATTCAAAAAAACCATGCCCCAGTTAACCACAACCAAACCCATTACCCCGCATAAACCCGCGAAAAAAAAAAAAAAAAAAAAAAAACCGCGCCTAAAACCCTAAAACCGGAACATATCACCCACCCCAAGCAACATAGCTCCCGGCACCGCCAACATGCAAACCCCACCGACCCCAAATGTACAAGCCAATCCGAACACACAAACAAACAACAGATGGGATACCTGAAATGCGAGCAGACGATCCACGCCTCGGTCGCTTGGGTTGGCGTGATGGAGTGAGTGCGTCAACCGAAAGCAGCAGGAAAGGACCGGACGGACACTGCAATTGAAGAGACGGGAAGTAATATATATTTAATCAACACATAAAATACCATAATTAGTGGTGTACAAGCCCATAAAATCTGTTATCAATTATTACACCCTAATAAAGACACCATCAAAAAGACAACAACACCCCCATATGCACAAACATCAAACGCACGTGGCTTCCAAATCAGACAAATCCCATCCATCCAAAAAAATAAATAAACGTACCAGATCAAGCCTCACCACCTTGCCTGACAAAGGTAACCTCACCAGATTCAATATCTATATATATATATATATATATATATATATATATATATATATATATATATATATATTTATTTATTTATTTATTTATACTAACAATCTTTGTGTTATGAAATTATGTACCTTATGAGTATGTATTCTGTCGTTTTGATTCAGGGTCCAAAATGCTGTTACCATGATATAAATTGCCAAATATGAATAACATGTGAAATACTTAATTAAGTAAATAAGATTCCATATAATAAATTG